ATGGGTTAGTGGAGGAGACATGAGAAAACAACAGAAGCCCTGAATACAAGGACAGTTAGAGATGACAGACAGTTTTAAAGATTAGCTTGGTCTGAAAAGCAAAACACTTAATGTTAATGGAAAAATGTGAAATGAAAGAGTCAAAAGCTAATATTTTTCCATTTTTACTATTATAAAAATGAAACTTCAACTGCCCATATTATAGCTACTGTCAGTGAGAACAGGTCAAATTCCACTATGCTGCAGATGAAGCACCTAAAGTGCCTCTTCCTAAATGTATCCTCATGGATAGCTCAAAAGCCGAAGAGCCTCTGTGAGGCTCTCACGTGCAGTTTGCACCGTCACAGTCACTGTACCAAGACCCGGGACGTTTCAACGTGTTTGAGCACCCATCCCCTGGGGGATCACAGTGAGTCATAATGCAGACTGGGTAGCAAGGTGCATGGGGACAAGCCTGATTTGGAGGTGACCTGTCCTCTTGCAAACCCAGGGGATTTATGTGCTTCCATGTCTGCCTGTGCAAAGCCAAAACTCACTTTCTCAGTGAAACAGCCGGTGGTAATTCTTCCCCTATTTAGCTTTCACTGACTTCTCTGAAAAAGAGCTAACACTAATGCTTTCTTTACCTTCCTGTCGCAAAGGAGAAATCTTGGCCTCAAGTCACATCTGCCTGGCTCTTTTCCTCTTTATTTTTGTTCTTACCCAGCCTTCTCCTGCCGATTATCCAGCTTTGCTGTTGTAGCTTGAATAATTCAGGTGGAATGAACTGAGTTGAAACAAGGTGACAGTGTTCCACCACTTGTCCACTTAAGTTATTCACAAATTTGTCTTGGAGTAGGACCTTTGCTCTGACTCTTAAATCATGACAGTGTTTCAGGTAGAGTTATGACTATAGAGGAAGCAGCTGTGTTCAGTTTCAAACACGCAGGCATGAAATACATTCACATTTTGTCTTTACTGTATAACTGAACATGTATTCTTCAATTTTAAGTGTGGCCTGACACTAACGAGTCATGTCGTTGCACTAGATTCTCTTAAGCTTCTTTTTACGTTTGTCTTCAGTGCACTTCATATTTATTAGCTGCTCCCATTAGTTCCATCTGCAGTTCCAGTTACCACGTTCGTGTTAAGCCAAGTTGGGCATTCTCAAGCACTGTAGAGTCAATGTCTTATTTTCTAAAAATGTTAATTTCACTCAAACTTCCATCAATAACATCTTTAAAAATCCATTTGCAATGTAAATGACTCAAAGTGTAATCCATCCTGCTGTGTTCCAGAACACTTCCTTCTTATTTAATTGCCATAGACACTTCAGTTACCGATTAGACTTTATTGTTTATGATGTTGCATTTCATTAATAGTTGTGATAAAAATTGCATGTTGCAGGAAATTTTTTGCATGTTAATGCTACTATTGGGGTGCAATTCAGAATTCATGGGGAAGAGTTCATCTCAGAAGTTTCAAGACTGCACTCTTGTAACTATATAATGAAACTGCTCCACAAGAGTAATCTTGAACACAGAGGGTGTTTCCTCCAAACAAGTACTTAGTTTCAACTAAGAATTTTTTAGGCTCAGGAGCTACTAAACCCATTCACCCAAACCAAATATTTATATCTAAATAGTTAAAGATATTAAGGAAACATAAGGCTGAAGCTTTAGCACTAGGTACAGGAAGGGAATGAGAAGTATCTTTGAAGGAGGGCAGCTGAGAAGCCACTGAACAGATAGTGTATAGCTCAGTTCTCTGATGAGGAAGGTACCTTAATTTCTGAGTAGGTAAGTTTTGCACCTTCCAGTCCCATGGATTCAGGGAAAGGATCATTTAGGTCCAGAGGCTCTGAAGCCACTCATTAGAGGACCTCCCTGTCCCCACTGTGCCCCCTCCTTCCATAATATCATTGTGGCCCATTACCTTTAACTCTACCTCTAGTAGTACCAAAATAGCATCCAGGCTGTGCTGGATCACCCATAGAAAATGGTGCAATGCAGTGCTGCTGTTATTTGACAGTACAGAAAGCCACATTGATCCAAGTTACTTTTTACAGCAAAGCGTGTTTATACCAGGATTTCATCCTAGTGAAGCTATGTTTGCTTCCTGGTGCAGAACAGAGACCCTGTCCCTTCTGAGACTCCTGGACAAAAATCATTAGGGATGAGAGCAATGAGAATCACTGGCTGTAATCTCTGCTGCTTTCCAGCCTGGAAGAGTGACTCACAGGCAGAGGTTTCCCTGGAAGACCTTCGCTCACTGTTGGATGCAATCACAACAGATTCCCTCATTTCTAAATTTTAGCTGTACCTGCTGTTGAATAAAAAGGCTAGACCAATCTCAGACATTATTTATTAATAGAAGCTTATTCTTTTTTTCAAAATACAGCAAGTAGAATCCTCCTCTAACCTGCCTGGGCCAAGTAAAGGTAAAGAATGCAGTTAAGTGAGACAACTAATTTTGTATCCTCATTCATACACTGTTGTTCCAGACCTCAAGTACTCACTAGTGGCACATTCAGCACCACTCCAAAAATGGTAAACAATTGGCACAGACTTAACAAGTTTCTTTTTCTGGATCCAGAATAATTCTTTCAGGTTGAAACTGCATTGAACTGATTGTGCTAGCAGAGCAGCCCAGTGCTGGGCAATCTGCCAGTCTGCAGTGTGCGGAGTACAGGATTTGTCCTGCAGCTAAACAATAGCTCTTCTTCACATCCACGTCTCTCATGACGCAGCCCTTTTAACTCGGAAGGAAACTTTGGTCTCCTAATGACTTGCAAGTCTAACTTGGCCATGTGATTAAGAATTATTTCTTTTGTGCTGTAGCACAAAAATAATTCAAATAGATGTGATAATGGTATTGCATTCAGCATGAAAAGATCATTGAATGTAAACGTGGAACAAAATGTACTTCTGTCTCACAGAAAATTGCATTTAGAACTTGTTGCTACTTTGCTGCTTTTGTGATAATGCTTCAACCTCAGACCCTGGATCTCAACATAAATACCCTGGCATTTCAGACAAAGGAGTCAGAGAACATCTATTATCTCCCAAAAGCTGAGAAATTCTGGAAGGTGCATTAAGACATGATGGGATTCTTCCCTTTGTGACTTCCAGAAAGTCACAAAAGTGATTGTTTTGGGATAACTAATTTTTAAAGAACACTTTGTGTAGAAGGATTATGTCATGATGGTTTTTGTACGTACTGGCAGGGCAACAGATCTTCTGCAAGAGGAAAAAAGGGAGAAATGGGGCGAGAATAAATGCTGGATTAGGAGTTCTGGCTCGAGCATTGCCCAGAAGAGTTACTAAATGTCACCACAAATTAAAAATTACTTTTTATTTGTGAGCCATTGTGCACAAAGCACAGTGAAAATATAGCTAAAATTTGCACATTTAGATACCAAAAGTTAGATATTCACTTCAGAGTTTGACAGTGATAAGATTTCCCAAGGTACACCTGGCATTTCTGTTCCCATAACTGCATGTTTTCCTTGTGAAAATCTTCCCCTTAATAACTCACTTTGGTTTAAATGAATTCTGACTTACAGCAACCTCACTGGTAGCTGTTGGGTGTTCATTACTTCAGAAGGTCAGCCTTCTTGAGTAGACATTTCTTGCACTGTTTTATTACTATGCAGACAGGAGACATGGAACTTTTTACACTTCACTCCTCTAGCTGAGTATCTATATCTTGCTTTGAACACTTTGTGCTACACAGGTGTGATCTTCATTCAGAAAAGCAGAGGAATAGTGAGTATTAATCATCTGTATCCATTTTCTGAATATCACATGATTCTTATAGGTCATGTGTACAGTAGACTCAAAATAGTGCATAACAGATATTACTGCTGGTTTATGAAAAACAGTAAATAAAAATTCAAAACTCATTTTTAAACGGGAATGTAAATATAAAAAATGGCTGATGACACAGCTTGTAGCATTCTGCTTTGGAAATTACCTTTGTTATTTTGCAATGAAATTGAATTTTCAACTGTCAAAAATTTCCCATAAAATGGAAAGCAAATTCTGACCCTGTCTTTTTCTTCCAGCACATTCTCATCACTCCCAGAAAGACCTCATATCCCTCATGGGGGACCATAGGTCTTCTGTTTCTTTTTGGAAATATATGTTCTACACCGCTGTTGATATTCCATAAAATTAGGGTGCTGGGCAGTTTTTCTTGTCCAGACTAGAGTGCCACTCTGAAGTACAGTTACGATCTTCATTTGGTTTTGTAGATTTCAGCAGATTTTTAATGAACACCTTTTGGGGGAAAAATACTAAACCTATTTTTGTCTTAATCCAATTGCTTTGGTAGCTACAGAGTGAGACATATTTTAAAGACACCAGGACCATATGTTGTAAAGTCATTCTTTTAGGTATAAAAACATCCAACAAAATAGTAAGTTGAAACAGAGAGAGTTCAAGCTGAGGTACCAGCACGTGGAGATTATATCCATGCATGCACTAAACATGGCTTTTTCTCCTTGAATGTATTCTGCATCATCTTGAGCTAAGGAAGCTCCCTAATCTGCAGTCCTGCTCTTACCAATTCAAACCCCTTTCTTCTACAAAATCTAGTACCAGCTCTCTAAGCCAGACATTCTTTGCTACCTCTCCTTGCCTGTAGTCACACTTCCAGCTTATTCCAATAACTTCCAGAAGAAGATCCTGCGAGATACAGGCTGTCCTGAAAGTAGCTTTTCTTTGGGGAACAAAGAGCCTCATCTTCTTTATGCCTCAAGCTAGCAGTATCTTGAGTCCCCTGATGCCTCCCAAAGGCAGTTCAGATTGGGTTAGCAGCTGAGCCATTAGACTGACAGCAGAAAACAGACTTTTGTTTAGACAGCACAAGAAGTGTGCAGTGATACACAGTAACCTCCTGAATGCAAATACTTGTGACATTTTCATTTTTTGCAGTTTTCTGAGAAAGTAGCAAGTCAGGTCATTGTAATGAATTGGTAAACATCACACTGTATTATATATGAAATTCATCTCCTTGCACTCAGAAGTGGGGTGTTAATGCAGTACTCCTCACTGTGATGTCTGCTTTCTGATATGTATGATGCTGGGTTCTAAAATATTCGTATCCCAGTCATACCATACCACTGCATTATTAGCCTGAATATATGAAGACAAAAAAAGACCAGGAAGAAAGTTAATTTCACTTTTGGTTTTCAATTCTTATGCACTGTAACAGAATGTGAATAACCTCATTACTATACAATTTTTGTGTGTCACATAATGACCTCTATACTAAAGACCAAAGTTTGCATAATTGAGGAGAGACTCACCTACAACAGTGTTGGAATTCATTAGCATAAGGCTGAAATAATGCTAAGAAAATAGTATTTGATGTCACCTATTTAAACTGAAACACTGTGTGTTTTCTTTCCTCTGGAATTCTTAAAGGTACATGCTCATGACGAGGAACACAACTTGTCTTGCTGAATCTGGCAAACAGTGAGAGATGGTCCTGTAACTCATCAGCTATTTACATAACAAATGGAAAAGGTCTATTCTTATGTAGTCTTGTAGTTTCTTGCAAGTATCAGTAAAGTATATGTTGCTTAATGGATTTATCTTTATAGGCAATATATTCACATATTTATCTTGACTTTTAAGTGCTCATCCTTCATGCTAGGCTCTCTGTAGTAATTAAAATATACCATAAATCATATCTACTGTAATTACCAAAATACACAGTAATTATCCATTGATCTTTTGAGCCTGTAAAGTAACTATTTCAAAGCTGAGTTATTTTGGTATTCCTTGAGACAAGCCTACTGCAAAATGTTAGTAATTCACTTAATATTGCAGCACAGATCAGCTCTGGAGTGTTTCATGTCTTCTCCCTCTCCCCACAGAAATGTTATGGCAATTCTATTGACTATCATCTTAAAAATCACTTTCATCAATGACACCTGAATCCTGAATGCTATTCTAGCTGGTGACAATATCCTGTGGTATGCAGTTATCGAGGATCACTCTGCAGGCAGCTATTCCTTTCATCTTACACTTTGTCTTTACCATGACTGCAGAGAGAAATTCTACATGAATTGAGGGAATTCAAACCTGAGTTGGAAAAAGGAACTCTTATCTGAAACCTGCAGGTAGTTAAAACTACTCCAGTGCATCTGCTCAGAATGAGAGCTGTGAGCCCAATGGTAATAAGTACAAGTATACAAAAACAATCTGAAAAAAGACAGAATAGTTCTGCTTGCCTTCACTGAAGGTCTGAGTATCCATGTCTGAATGTGTGTAACGGGGGTTTCATGAGCCTTGGGACAAATGCACTTGCCATTGCTAACTGCAACACTTTCCAAGCTTTTCCCTTTTCACAAGTATAAATTCTAGCTGAAATGCAGGCACCTTGCCATTTTTTTTTAATATTGCCAATTCCATGGCTGTATAAGACGTATGAGGATGTGATTTGTTGTAGTGTTATATCAGAGAGTGAGGTGAGCCCAAGTCAATTTATGTAAGGGTCAGGGTTAATTTTCTTACTCTTCATGGAAAAATGTTACACTAGTTTTCTGCAAACTTGAATTTCCACTGGTAGTAATATCTTGCAGCCATGGTGGTGTGTAATGTAGCAGTGCTAAATTCTTGTCTTCAGAGATTTATGCAAGTTATTATTTAAAAATAGAGATCTAGGAGTCACATCTGGCTAATTAATCTGTACTAAGGAAAGTGAAGTGCCTGGCCTTTCAGGTATCCCTGTGATGGCTGAGTAAGCTTGCCATCCCATAGAATTGTCACTTCTTTGTTGTTTCTTTTTTTCACCCCTTTTTCTGTATAAGAAGTAGGTGCTGAAACAATCAGCTTAGCGCAGACACAGTTTTCAAATAATTGCATGGATCTAGTTCAGAATTTGAAATGAATTAGGAATAACCAGTGTACATCACCATGGACTGAAGATTTGTTATGCATAAGCCTGTCAGGGATGTAACCAGTCAGGTATCACTCTCAGGTTGTATATGAATACAAATTTACCACAATAATTCATCCTTGTTACCTGATACTACCATGTTTTGCTTTTGATCTTTTCATGATATTCCATGACAACTGTTGTCATATTGCAGTTAATTTTAACAGCCCTATGGCCAAACCTGAAAGCCGCCCACTTGTTAAAATAAGACAAAAAAGGATATATTATATTTATGTCAGTATTATAGTAATTCATACTGCCAGTAAACAGAGAAGGTAAAACCATGTAACCATAATAACTTGATTGGAAAAAGTCATTTTCTCATAATGACTTGTAGGGTGAGTAGTGGTAGTCCCCACTTCCTGCCCTGCTATACTGGGGATATGCAGTTCACAGGAGTGACTGGGTGTCACCATATACTTCACAGCCCAGACTACTGCCTCTTTACTCCAAATGTATAACTACCAATTATTTGTTTAGTTATTGGTAACTCTAATAAAGAATCAAATTAATTATGTTCTTTAAAATGTATGCACCTATAAATCGAGGTTACCAGTCTCAATGTAGTCAGGAATTACAGTCTTTAGCAAAAGATTATGTGTAAGATTTGAGTACCTATGCTAAGGTTTGAATTTCTAAAACAGCTGCAGGGAGTGTTTAGATCTAATTGTAGTCACTAAAGATAGTAAGTATGAAAAGGGGGTTCATGTCAGATCATGATTCCCTTAGGGGAAAACGAGTGCAAGAACCGTAATCTTGCCTAGTCCCACGCAGGGCAGTGGAGTTTACTAGCCAGATGATAAGGACGCGGACTGAAACATAGGGAGCAAAACATGTTTTTTGTATCTAAACTTAGCAAATATTTTGTTACTTTGTGAGCCTGTTTCTTCTGTATGTTTGCATAAAGATAGTCCTTTCTCATGTCTTCTTCCTCGCACCCACAGAGCTGGCACAACCTCTGCAACAGCCGTATGTGTATAACATATTCCAGTACATTCACTTCCAGATGAAGGCAAGTGTATTTGCTGGCCTCTATTCCCTAACTGTTTGGAAATACAATATCCCTGGATCAGTAGACAAGAAACAACAGACATCTTACACCAGTCAGCTTCTATGATGCAGAAAAGAAAGACAGTGATGCTCTCAATCAGTTTTATGTCTAGCAAACTCAAATTATAAGCCCTCAATAGTTGCTAGTTTTTATTCTTTATTTGAGCAGCATATCTTATTTATCTCACGCATTGCCAGTCTTTCCAGTATAAGACTAAAAATCTGTTCTTAGTCAATTCAAATTATACAAATGGCTTGTTCTGACACAGAACTGTGTGAAAACTCTTGTCTTATATCCAAGTTGTATCACTGAGCACTGCCAAGCGCAAACCGTAACCAAATACCCTATTTAAAGATATTTTTGATCAGGTAATTAGATGCAGTTGTTCATGGGTTTGTTGTGTTTTTTTTTTTCCTAGTTAATGCACTGTCTTAACAATTTTTAAAGGGAAGTGTAGTACATTGGGCCTTCCTGTATTTGAAATCAAAATTATTGAGGTCTTCAGCTCTGACAGCAAGAGCTGTCATTCGATCCAGAGCAGGTTTCTTAGCTTTCTGTCCTTATTGTCAGATGAAAGGAAGAAGAATACTTCTGTAAAGGTATTTATGGATTTGTACGGTAATTGTGAGAATAATCCTTGATCTTGCAGAGTCCTTTCAGGAGCATTGCTAGACATTGTGCTAATTACAGTGTGATCATAACACTGTAGGGAGGAAAGAAATGATGGGTAAAACTACTGGGTGTGAATAGTTTCATTCTCTCTCTCCTTATGGTAGACTTAGTCCTGTGTCAGAGTTGATGGATGGAGACTCTTTAACTCACATGGGAACTGGATTAGACAGCCCTTGTGATCTAAGGTGAAATTTTCAGCTGTGCTTCTAGTGTCCTACATTAGTATGTGTGAAGAGTTCATCCCCTCACCTACCCACGCACCTTGATGACATTCTTTTCATCTAATCTCCTGTAGGAAATTCATATTGTCTAATGTTGATATCTAGTTTTATTTAATAAATTCAACTCTAACAACACATTAAAAAAACCACCAAACCTATGTGCAGTAAACTGGGATGTTTGTCTTTTCTAAAGTGCTAGAAGAATACCGATAAGCTGCCTTTTTAATAGTAAATCATATTTCAACTTTTTAATAAAATTTAGCATTAATCTGGTATAGTTGGCCCTTCTTGTGGAAACCCCGGGGAAACCAGTCCAGAGTAACTTCACAGGGAGAAATGCTGAGCTCAGTAATTATGACTAAGATGACTGACTTACACTACATATTTTCCTTCCATTCTTCCCTTTCTCTTCACTCTTTGCTCTGGACCATTTATGACAAGTCTTATGTAGCCCAAAGTAAACAGTACTGAGCCCCAAAAAGAATGAAACCCCTACAAGTAGTAACCAGAAAATCTTTTACCAGAAGTAAATGTGTGCATAAATATTATTCAAACTCATAAAATAAATCATGATATGTCCTGATCTGTTAGTTTTAAATTGCCTTCTGAGATTAAAATGTTTAATCTTCATGGAGAGATGTGCTGCAACTCCCAGAACTTTTCCTGGCTGCAGATAGAGAGATCTTAGAATGACCGCTGGTTACATTTGTTTACTTTTTATTTCTGAAAAATGCAGGGAGGAACGATATAAAACTCTCAGGAGCTCACTTCATGATTAACCATGACGTAATTGACAGAGGAAAACAGCAACAATTCATACAGCCAGTAATTAATCTCTAGCTTTATGGCCTCATTTGCCAACTGTCTCCATATTTGACAGAGAGAGTGACTTGCTGAATGTTTAATTTCCTCAGTGACAGCAAAGGTATGAAATCAGATTTGAAGATAAACATCTTCTGTGGCTTCTGCTTACAAAAAGAGTAGCCAATTAAGTATGCTTGCTTAGCCCTTGCAAATATTTGCCATGGGATTGACATAGGAAATAGAACTTTTTTTCCCTTTCTGCTTAGGAGCTCCACCTCACTAGCTGCTCACCCTCTGCAGTATACATTCAGGAGGATTCCTTACTTCATGCATCTGAATCATGCAAGTGATTTCATTTCATTCTTTTGTATTATTATTATTCTTTCACCTCTGTGCTTTAAGGGCCAAATCACATGAGATGCTGAATGCCTCCCATGAGGAATCTACATACCCTAGTGGGACATGAGCGGTTTGACGTATCCCAGGAGATGATTTGCACCTCTTGTGGTTGGTAAAACAAGTAACTCAGAGAACAGGCAGCGAGCGGTTGCAGTGAATTATTTCCAGAAACATTTTCTCCCTATAGTGAGGGGAAAGATTTTTATTTGCAGAGTTTTCATGAACAGGCAAACTTGCCTATCTGACCCGCAGCACATACTGCTGAGCTGCAGCAGACAACTTCTCCTCTCTGCCCTGCCCTGAAAATCTGAGATTCTGTCCACATTCTGCGTCCTCTGGACAAGTCAAACAATCTGCAACAAACCGACAGCTGCAGCCCAGAAATGAGAGAGGAATCTTACCACAAAAAAAAAGAAATTAAACTCGTGTCCTGTTCACTTGTATTTGATTTTTAAAGTAAATACACTTGAGATGTTTCCTACTATTGAAAGGGTAGTTTCTTGACACCGTTTCATATAAAACAATCAGCAATGTGGAAGCAGGCAGCTGTATATATAATAGGACTATGCTTGTCAGAATCTGCTTTATTAAGTTGGAGTTGGTAAAGGAAATAGATCTATTTTCTTTCTTTAAGCTTTAATGGGCTTTTGTTTTGAACTTGTCATTCTGATTTTCCTGTGAGCTTTGTTTTCATTTTCCTTGAAGATTTCTGGTAACAATAATTGCTTGCAACAGGAAGATTCATGTGAACTGACTTCCATTTTAGACTTCAATTCCTATGAAATGGAAGGGGATTGCAATGTGGATGTGAGCAGAGAGGACTGATGCTTCTGTACAATGCTCTTCTGCTCCAACTGTAAATATATTTTCATGATTAATAAAAAGAGAGTAGAAATCTTTCTAGTCTGTTAGGGTTTTATTGATGGCCGCTCCCAAGAATACTGAAAAGATGCTATC